AATCATGAATAGTGACACGCATGATCACTCCCTCTTGATCCATCCCGGAATTGGGTAGATCAGAGCTTTCCTTCACAAAGGGGTGGAGCTTGTTGGGGAAGAAGAAAATAACAACACAATGGGCCGGGCTTTTTCGCCATCCTTTTGCTGTTCAGGGTGCCAGGGGACTCGGTTGTCTGATGTCTGTCAGTTCCGAAGACGTTGGGATGATTCAGATCAGGTTTGATCGGCAAGGTTTTCAAGGGACGATGCTCCGGGACTTGCGGCGACAGGGCCAACAACGACAACTAAGGAAATGCGGGGTGCAGCGGAACACCACAGCATAATTCGGGAAGAACATCGTCAAGTGCGGCTACTTTCTTGATGACATATCCTAGTCGCCCATCATGCCAGATCGACTCCTGCAAGTGAAGGTGGAAGCGGACACAGAACCTTTGGGCAACATGTTCATTGATCACCATCCATCGCCGGCTCTAGTTCGTCCCAACTGTCAGATGAAGCCACATCTTCCGGGAAGTCACTTCGTTGGCGGATCGTTTTAACAAGCCAATGTTGGTCGTTCTTGGCCTGTCGAGTGGCACGTCAAAATAAATGTGCAGAGCCGCGGCCTGCTTACGGGCGCTTCGCTGTTGCGAAACCTTCAATCACAGAGTTGTTGTCATGGCAATTCTCCGAGTCGGACCTGCATGAGATTACTCAACTTTTCTTGACAGTCTTTTATGGTACTCGGTCCCGGATTTGAAAGAATCCTCCCCACACCCACCAAGAAGCCGTCCTTGTGGCAGTGACAGTGGTCGTCAGTCGAGGCTCTGCTTTACCGCGCCGCCCTACATGCTGCAACGCAGCGTCGCTTGATCGGATGATGCCGCCTGCACTTGAGAGTTGAGGCATGGAATGGCTCAGGCACTTCCCATGCAGCTGGAACATCTCGGCAGCTGTGTCGCCGCGGGCCGCTAGCTCTGCAACCTTTTCGATTGCTGCAGAGGCGACAAAGTTCAAAGCATGCATGAAGAGCAAAAGCGAAATGAAAGGGTCGTTCAACCCATCAACAATGGGCGCGACGCATTACCATATGCGCCTTGCTGGGTCTAATGGTCCAGACCACTGGTTTCCATCGCGCTTGGCGACTTGCCCCTGAATCACAAAGGGCACTCTGCGGATACCTCACGTCTAACGACTTCTGACAACGGCAACGGAGGGTCACGGGCCTAGCTCTTAGAGACGACGCAAGGGCCACGAACGTGGTGAGGTTGCAACCCGCCATCGGCAACCCATCTTTCCTCAACTAGGCCCAGCCTGTCTAGCATTGTAGATGACAAGACAATACTGAGTCACATATAGCCTCTACCGACTGTGTGGCGGAAGCGCCCGAACCTTGGGGTCCTACGATGCCAACAGACAGTGTGGTCGGAGATTGTAGATCGCCCAGAGGATCGCACGAATTCAACTTCCTACGCTATGGGCCTGGTGTTTTCGGCGGAGTCTCCGCGGCATCAATAAAGCGAGAGACTACGGCTTGGAAGCAAGTTGTAACCAGATACATACTCGCATTACCTTATCAAGTGATAGGTTCGACACCTGTCCGGAGGTAATAAGCTTTCTTGTAGACTTCAAGGTGGAGGAGTTCGCGAATAACAACGGGTGGCAGTAACGGTTAAAGATTATCTTTGACGCAATGGCGCGAGCAAGGAAGTAGCGGGACAAGCTCCCACATCTTTCGTCCCAAGTCTGCCGGTGCTTGGACGTTATTTTCACCAGGATCCGCATAACTGACAGGCTCAAACAGGGGTATAAGCGGGTGCGGTAGAATGACTCTGATGAGGCGGTCGTTCGGAAAAACTGGAGAGTCAAGACCATGAGTCTCTTATCGCCTACGGCGAGACGAGTATCGTGGTCAACATTGGCAGCAAAGCCTACGAGTAAGATGGTTCAGCAACCAATTTTCGCCTCGCCATGTCTCCTAGCGGCTCACTTTCCCAAGACGGATGTCATCATCAGAAGCCAGTGTCCGCCAATTTTAAGACTCCGGAAGTTCTTGACCGCGTGCTTCTTGTGGCCGATTTTCGGCAAGAGATTCGAGAATGGCATCTGGGCTTCTGTCTTGTCATCTGGAGTTGCGTACTCCGTACCCCTCCAACACACCCTGGCTGCCCAGGCTTTTCATATCCACCCTTCCACACTTCCTGGATCCCCGTCGTGATGGGGCAGGGGTTAGAGGAAAGGGCCGCTTGGAGGCAACTCGAAGGCGTGTGGCCCCCGGTCAATTCAAGCACCCTCCAAGAGCTCGCAAGATGAGCACGGGATATGAGATGGGGTGAGATGAAGTGTGACGACAACCAGCCAATCGTCAGCTGCTCTGCCTTAGATGAGACGCCGGGTACCCAGCGCTTGCTACTCAATATCCTTTGTAGGGTCACCGTCTGGCTTGGGAGTCTGTTCGATGCGCATCACGGACGAGGGATCGTGCCAGGGAGTGTCGAGGGAAGATCACAAGCAGAGCATCTGCTGATTCTAGGGACTCCAGACTACCCGGCGCTTATCAAGTCGAATAACGATCTAGGTACACGATCAATGGTATAGGGTCGTCACAGAAGGGTAAGGGAAAAAGGACAAAGACTATTCTGGGCAAGCGCTTTTCGAGAAGCAGTTTCAGGATACCTTTTTCAGAATCCAAAAGCCCATTTGCTCATCTTTACTTTCCATTTTCGCCTAGAGTCTGGGGTCATTAGGACGGCCTGATCTCTGGCTCTGCCTGTGTCTCTAATTTCCTTCTTCATCTTCTAGCTAACTGCATGCCGTCCCGCCGCACTTCCTTTCTCATCTCCCCTTGTCGTTATTGAATCGCTTCTCTTCATCAAGAGTTTGGTTCAACCTCTCTTGTTGAGACCTCATTCACACTTTGCTTTCCATTCTCACACAGCAGACGCAAGCAGAGGGCCGAGCATCATCATTCGATGTCAGGGTGGACCGAAGCAGGAGGGGACCAGAACCAGGTTTTCAGGGTCCAGTGCTTCCGCATCTGACCAACTTTGCATCCCTACAGGACTGGACTCTTTCGAAAATTCTCACACCGGCTTCCTCCAATGACCGAAGGATTCCAGCGAGCCCCTCGCCACTGAGATCGCTACAACAAACCTTCCCCTATAAACCCGCCACTTCTACCATCCCAGCTCCACACTGTAGCAACTCGGCCCTCGAGTCTTTGCAACTTATCGCACTTTCTTAACGACTGCTCTCAAAAGTCTCAAAGGCTCAAAGTCGTGGCCCGACGTCTTCGTCTCAGCCTCGAAGAAACTGCCCTACGATCAAACGAGTCTAAGAAGCGGCAAACAGACGGGCGAATAGGAACCATCCTGTCTGCTGTCTGAGACAAGCTACCTGGCCCCCACGTACAGTTGTCACCAAACGTCCATCAATCATCGAGAGCGTTCCTACTGGCGCGTACGTTCAACTAATAAGCCGAGGATTTTCATCTGGCGGCGCTGGAGAGGTACAGCCATCTGCTGCGGTCCATTCGCAATCGAACACAACGTTCTAGCTGCGTGGTACTACTTGGGCACTCCTTGAATGCAGCCACACGTCAAGCAAGGTATGTAAACCATCAGAGTTCTTCCCCCTTTTGTGTATTCACCTGGAGACTCCCTGATGCTCGACAAACTGCCTGTTTCTATTCATCTGCTCCTCAATAGACTTCTTCGCTGGAGTCTCGCACTCACGTTCTGACCGACTACCATAGTAAATCTAAACCCTGTTTACAATTACCAGATTTTCGAGCCTCGAAAGAACTCAAAATTGGGATATCAGGGTCGAGGGAAATATACAGCCAGGACTGGGTTCCGTATACTCGACAGGCATTTGCTGTCTAGAACTGCAAGCCCATTGGCGGTTATCTCTTTGACGACCATCTCCAAAGATCAGTCAGGTACACACACCATCGATGCCCCATCCCCATGTAACAACGCGACTCCAGAATACCTAAGCTGGATGCCCAAGTCCGCAAATGTGTTTGTTGACACCCTTCTTGCCGTTGTAGTCCCAGAATTTCCAGAGAAGCAAGGAAGGCAGTCGCTATCGTTCAGCAGCCTGTAACTGGCAAGGTACGTGCCTTTCTTTTCTTTTCTCGGATGTTTTCGTCACTTCTCCCTCGTGCGTTCTTTCCTCCTTCGTGGTTGGCCTTTACATCATGCAAAAACGTACTTAGGGTTGAATCTTTTGTCTGACCACGTTTTGGTCTCATTCTCAGGCTCGATACCTTCGCCTTTCTGTCTCCACGTCACACCTCCCAAGCATCACCATTGGCCGACTCGACCCAATATACCCTCGATATAACTGCCGTAGCTGCATGACACGCATCCCAACGCAGAGAACTCGAGAATACGCTGTTCTACAGTTGTTGTTATTAGACTCCCCTTCCTACCCAACTTGGGTGGTAATCATCAGCCCACGGGGAACGGGAAAAACTTGGGGAGCCGACCCAATTTTGACAGCAGCCCATTCAGAAAGCTTCCCGGCTTTGGTACACCATCCTGGCCGTTACCACACTCGCAGCTTAGCTGGACCACTCAAATCATCTCGATTGGTCCGTCCCTGGCATCGCTTTGTGCCGTGTCCGCATCGGTCATAACCGCGCTCTATCCGCACCGCACCCAACACGACATCGACAGCAAATCTTGACCCGGCATTCGGGTAGTCCACTCGTTAACGCCTTCGCGAAGCATCTCTTGACAAACATCAGGAACGCACTGCATTCTCCTTGATTGCTTCTTCGATATCAGCAGGTCTCAACTAAACGTTACGCCCGGATTCTAAAGTTGTCTTCCCAGTCAAAAGGAGACAACACCCTGAAACGCCTTTCCCCATCTCCATCTTGTGACGCTTCGACATCGAAAGGTTTATCAAGGATATAGCAGCAAAGGTCTTTGACCTTTGTATGGACCTCACTTCCCGAGAAGGACTCGACTTTGCAACGTCACCGACTCTTTGGAGCATAGGGTTCCATCATGTCTTACCCATACCCTACGCATTTGCTTCCCCTCAGTTCCGATATGGAGGTTCCTCATTCTGGCTTCGCGCCCAACTTCGGCGCATCAGGCTCGGGCCAAGCATCGACGGGCCACGGAGCCCATGATCCAACAGACCAGGAGCGTAGAGATTCCATCTTACAGGCGAGTCGTCGAAAATCGAGACGCTCCTTGAACAAGCCTAATGTCAGACTGCGGCAGGCCAATATCTCTGATTCCAGCCAGTCTGGCCAAGCTGGGGACAAGAAGAGAAACAAGTTGGGCTATCACCGCACCTCGGTAGCTTGTGGTAAGTGGCTGTAACCTGTCCTCTCGCGTCTCTTTTGGGTTTGTACTGACGAAAGCAACGTCAAGGACATTGCCGCAGGCGGAAAATTCGGTGCATAATGTCAGAGGTACAAGGCGACGGCCGATGTAGAAACTGCATCAGGTTGAAGAAAGAGTGCAGCTTCTTCCCTGTAGACCAGGCCCCGTCTCAAACCACTGAACCAAGACCCAAACCGCAACCGACACCTGCCGGAGGATCAAAGACCGCTTCCGCATCGTCTTCTCCCGTTGTACTTCCTGGAAAAGCCCTAGAGAGATCCCAACACTATCAGCACCGTCAAGGAGGAGTTCTGCCCTCGTCACAAAACGTACTGCCGACAACTATCCAGACTTCTGCGATTGAGAATATTGGCCAGGAGCCCACAGGTCAGTTTCCGCGCGACCGACCCGAAGATATGTCAAATAGCTGACAAGCAGTAGTGCCTGCTTCGAACACTTCGACTTCTTCCCAGCGCTACGATTTTGCGAACCCCCAAATCACGAACTGGGTATCACCAGATGTTAGTTCCAACTATGCAACACAGTCAGGCGACTATAAGGAAACGAAGAAGTCTTACGCTGAACAGTCCCCGATTACTCCGTCTCCGTCATTCTCGCCGTATACGTCTCAAGCCCTATCGTCAGCTAGCTGGAGCAACGCAGATGCCAACGCTCACAGCAACATGGGATATTCGTCATTCGCAATGGGGAACTCTATGGCATACCCAAGAGGCACGCAAATACCTTCACAATATCCCACGATGCCGCAGCAGAGCCGGCAATTCCCGAGAAGGTCTTCGACGCCGATGACGACTGACATGTACACCCCAATTGCGACAAACTTCCCAATTATGGACCCACACACTGTTTCCATGTCTGCAGGTGCGAACCCGCCTTCCGGTTACGGTACTTGGCCACAGCAGCAGCAACAGCAGCAGCCCCCTTACGGCTATTCTAGGCCATCCGAGGGATACGATACTTGGACGGCTTATGATAATAGTAGCGGAAGCTAGACACTTCGTAGCCGTAACCGTCCTGCATCGTCAACGGAAAATCTTGGGAAACCCGATCCCGAGCATTCTCCTCCTGCTCCAAACTCCATTGGAGGTGATATATCACCTCCAGAGGATGAGGCGGAGCTTGTGGTTGAGAAACGAGAGAAGAACAAGAAAAAATAAATATCTTTAGCAAACATGAGGCTGAGTAGGAAGGTAGTTCTATTTCAGCAAAACCGGAAAAGTGTGTTCCAAGCGATGGCTTTGAGTCCCTTGGAAGGAGTCGTGTTTTCGATGCATCAGACATGGCGTTGGATCGGCGCGAAGCGTTCGAAAATGGAGCTGATCCCCAGAACGAGAAACGACAGAAAGCAAGCAATGGGAGTTGAGAGGATTTCAAAAGCAACAGCAACCATATACCCCAGTTTCAAAGGAGGAGCAAGGGACACCATCCTCGACGACCGGCAACACCGGAATCGAACGAAACGCCCAGTCAATGATAGACGGGTCGAGGGGTGATGAGTGTTGCCGGAAGACGTCAGATTTAAGTGCAAGCACATTGCGGAAGGAATGTTGCGGGGCCCCGAGCGCAAGGCGCATGGCCGATGCCGAGCAAGCGGGGAGGGGGAGGAGCCTAAGAGGAATACGAGGTCACTTTTGTCTCGGGATCGCACCGTGAGACGGGGGGTTCGGGCCGGGCGCGACGACCCGCAACCCCGGATAGTTGGACCAGGAGTCTCTTTTATTTTATTTCTTCATGTCCATATTGGCAGTCAGCATTGAGGAGCCAGAGAAAGCCAGGAGCGGTGGCAAGTGGACAAAAGAAGATTCGAAAAGAAAATGGGGGAGATCGCACTCAGGGACTGGACACACACGCATTTTATACCACCGGCGTCATCATGACGCTTACCAGTTGCTCATCATTTAGTTCTTTTTCTTTTGTTTTCTCGCCTTCATCCTCAGCAGAACTCTTTCAATTCACCGTACAACATTCTTGGTACTCTACAACTTTCCTGGCTGTTGGTTCCCATGCCCCATCTCATCTTTTCTCAAGCGCGCGTCATATGAGATTATAGATTCCTCTAACCTCCGAAGGCTTTTTTTTTTCCTTTCGGAATTGGCAAATACTTCGATACAGATTTTTTTCTAGTCTGTTATTCCCTCCTGGCCCTTGACGGCTTTGTTCCTAGACCTACCCCGGGCTTTTCCAGCCCTCCCCCCCATGAGAATAAGCCAGAGCCTCACGATCTTTTGCAACGAGTGATATGGTTGAGGATTGATGTCACATTGAGTTGCGCGTCATCCCGAGAGGTTCGTTCATGGGCCTGTCTCTGGCAAAGCCTCCAGTTTTCAGACCCACGTGATGATGACCGTGAAAGTCGATAAAGATTGAGACCAACTGGAAAGGACATGCTGGGTCTTAGACGAGCGGACTAGCTTTCAGGCATCAAACTCTGCCAGCCCCCAGCGCATAGAAAATGGGGGTATATATCAACCTCACTGTGATGTTGGGTGTGCGAGTGATTCTTGGTTTGAGTCTGATTAGAATTGCTCTAGTATATGAGTAATATGTACCGGAGACAGGAGGTTTCTCAGAGATCATTCACAGTATGCCCCCTCTTGACTGCCTTCAGCTCGGGGTTTTCTACTTCGCGGACATCTTTCATATCCCATCGCCGGTGTATACGGAGATTCATCTCCCTGACAAGCTTACAGACTGCACAAGCGTAGCAATACACCTTCTTGTGGTGTCTAAATTCTTCGAGGACTCCGATGCCCCCCTCCGATGTCCATCGGTAAGGACTATATATTTGGTGTTGCTGACGCCCGTAATCCAAATGTGGGTTGTTGTTCCGGAACATTGGTCATTTGTTATCGCGCTGAGTTTCTGATATCTAGGCGGAGGGCCTGTCAAAAGGAGAGTTCCGTGAAAAGCCATCCTTTGCCCCATATCTGCCCTGAGAGAACTTTGATGGGTTTCGTCGGTGGGTTAGGATTGATGACTGAGGGTTCCGGGGGATATCTGCTCAAAAAGAAGACATCGCCGCGGTCTTCCTCATTGTGCGGCGAGAAGGACGGACCAGCAGTGGTGATCACCCGATTCAATCTCCACCACCCTCCCGCCGTCTCCCATTGCAAGACCCTTCAACCCCTTCAAACGCCAGACCTCACCCACTGGCTCACTCCTCACTGTACAAGCTGCCAAGTAAGCACCAAAAGCGTAACATACGCAGCAAGACTCAACACAGTAAGCAACGCAACACTATTCCCGCTCGTCCGAAACTTGCGTACCAGGCCGCCGCTCGCGACGCCGCTGCCCTCGTCCACTTTCGGACTCGTAAAGAACTGGCGGTTCCCCTCGTGGCGGCGGAAGATTGCAACGAGCATGACGGCGGCGCCGTAGACGGCAAATAAGGCGCCGATGGCGTAAAACTCTGATGTGAAGATTTTGAGAATGATGAGGGCAAAGGAGAATTGGGAGAGGGCTGTGCGCATGTAGGCGCCTTCGAAGGTTCGTTGGGCGGCGCGGATTTCGACGAGTCTTTTTTGGGGGGAGGGGGTCAATTATTTAGGTACCTAGATGGATGATAGGGAGGTGACAGTGAGACTCACTCTTCGGCGGTTAGGATTACTGACCGGGCGCGGTGTAGGCGCAGGTGGAGGTGATCTTGGGGGTTTGGCTGTGGGGATGAGAAAGTTGATTGTGAGCCGCGGTAGTTCGTTACGAAATCGAGTCCCTTCAAGACCGTGATCTAGCGTTGCAGGAGATGCTCTCCTTCGAGATGGGAATACGAACCTGGAACATTGTGATGATGTGTATTTGAGAGGCTCTTTACTGTGTTGCTATCCCGAACAGTCCGGGTCAAGATGGCTTCGAGAAATGCAGTCTCAATGAGCCGTTTTGGATGTGCGACTTGGGCAGTTTTGCGACTGGGTAGTATCTGTACGGCTTCTTCACAAAAAATAAATGAAGCCAAGGCGGCAGGGGCTGAACAGTCAAGTCACGACTGGCGGAATTCAGGGCTGAAATGGCTCCATCCCCAGTGGAAATCCAGAGTTGATAGATTCCGCACTTCACAATGGAAAGCTGAGGTGTGAGGTGTAGTGCCTTTGAGTTTCTGGGCAGGTGATCTCCACCCTTGCTCGTGGTGGTGGTGGTTGTCGTCGAGGTGGATCAGGTGCCGTGATTAGATAAGCCTGCCAAGACGTCCCCGAGGATGCGTTCATCGTGTCCCAGAATGATCTCTTTCTGCCTACGGAGTACTATAGCTGGCTACCTCAAGATACACATGAATTTTCGCATGGTTTGGTCGCTTGCATATCCTGTTGCCCATGGAGCTCTCATTGAGATCTCGAGAGGTTCTCATGGTCTAGGAGATTTAACAGAGGTCTGCTTCAAGCCTTGGCAATCCTCACGCATCCGAGGGTCCATTCAAGGTGCGAGGTCGCCGAAAGCTTTCCATACTCGGCACCGTGGCGCAACCGACGCATTTGCTGCGTCTATTTCACAGGAGAGCATGCCCCATCGACGGGCACTACCTTAATCAAATTAACCGCTAGGAGATCGCGTTTATGGAAGCCTCTTATCGATTGGGATCTTACCGTCACTCGCGGATCAGGCGGAAGAATGGGGAGAGCTCATCTTGAGGCACACTCAGAAAGCACGAATAAATAGACATAGGGATCAGGGTCTGCGGTAGCACTAGCCGCAGATAAGGCACGGAGGCGCATGTCAACAAGCGACGGGAGCATGAGAATCCCGGTATTTCCATGGGAAGCGTGAGGCGTCGCCGACATTGACGGACGGGTCGGGTATGTTTGTGGCGCTGCGCAACCCTGATGCCGCTGGTTTCGAGCGGTGACCGGCGGGGTGCACCGCCAGGTCAGCGGTCAAGCTCAAAGACGACGCAGCGCTTCGCAAGTTCGTCCAGGGTCCCCTCCTCGACTGAAATATCCGAGTTCCATCACGGCGGCTGCGGCTGTGCATAATGGTGCTAGGCCCCACTGACCAATGTCGCTTTCCCCAGTACTTTCGTACCCGTTGCAGAGCGGATGATGGGTTTTTCGGGTTTTTAGACTCTTGAAAGCGAGAGCGATATGACAGCCGAGCTGAGAGCGTTTCTGCTGCCAGTTGGACGGGCAATCCTTAAGCGGAAACAATTGTCGATATTTGCGACACTCTGCTCGAGGGCTGATGCCTATCCGTAGCGTTTGGCACATGGCATGCATTCGTACTTTATGTTACTGTAGCATGCAGCTTTTCAGCGAGAAGCACCTACATGCCGTCGGATGACATCAAGCGTCTGCAAGCCGGTAGGTCTGACGAGCGCTTTTCAAGGGTTTGGTCTGTGGCCGGCATAAGGTGTACTCCGTACACAGTAGGCACACAGCATCGACGAGAGAATGTGCGAGGGACGATCCGGAGCTAGGGCCGGGAGTGGAAATCTGCCTTCTCGGTGAACACAGGCTGACCCAAGGGTTATTGATGGTTGATGGCCAAATGTCGTGTTGAGGTCGAGATGACACTACTCTTTAGGCATTATCAAGCCAGGGACAAGAATCCAGCCACTACTCCACCAAGGTACTGTGAGGTACGGCGACGGACGCTGATGGTGACGGCAGAGTGTGATTTGAGTGGAGGAATGAAGGTAAGCCACAGTAGCTTGCATCTGTGCGACGAGATGTGGTGGGATGCCAGATGGCAGACATGAGGTGGGATGTACGAAGCCCCTTGGGTATTGGATCCATGCTCATGTGGCGGCGTATGTAAGACGGGTGAGTGGGTGAGTGGGTGAGTGTGTGAGGTCTGAGGTGACTCTGAAGTCGAGGACAGTCGGCGTGTGTCCCAGTTGCAAAGTTGCAGTGGAAAGGTAAAACTGTCCTGGCGGGCTGGGGCTGAGAAAATGCGCCCAACAACGCCAAAGAAGAACGCCTCGCGCAAATGGAAGAATTAAGACGATACTTTAGTTTCCGGTGTGGGTGGGTGGTGGTCTCAGGTCCCTTGCCATCTGGTTCGCTCCTGGTTCGCTCCTGGTTCGCTCCTGGTTCGCTCCCGGCCCCCATTCCGCCCTACGAGCAAGTGCGCCTGGAGGTGTCAACCACTCAGAGACGTGAACGCTCCTTCTGTCTCTCGGAGTCTCCCAAATGCCCCACATGTCGGAGCGGGGCAGCGTTTGCTGCATGAGGTGCCGTGGAGCGAGGAAGGAAGTCGCAGTCGACGTGAGTGGTGAACGGGAAGGAAGCACGCAGGTGGCAGCAGGAGCATTACTAAGGCAAGGCATTTTGGGACTACTTTCTTGAACCTACATGACGCACATCATTATGGCAAGGTACCTTGGGAAGATATCATATCTCCTATATCTTGGGTCAGCACGTCAGGTATTTGACAACCACGCGATTC